TCACCATGCCTTCTCCCACTGGCCCTCTGCACACGTTTCTGTTCATTACCCACATCTCTCTTTGGCTTTTAAGAATAGGCAGGGCATACACCAGACTAAGGTTTCCATGCAATTTGAAGTTTGAACCCAACATCTCAAAATGATGGTAACGTCGATTATATATTTAAGTAATGCTGCAGTTTGTTGATTGTAATATTAAATATGCCTATTTAGTTTATTCAGATGTGTTATCCGGTATATTCCGGTATTATTTCGAAACGGTATACTGAATCTGCCGGTATGGTTTTTTAACAAAAAAATATTTTTTAATTACAAAAATAGTATTTTGCCGGTACACAACAGTTGAACCACGGTAGTACCACAAAATACCCTACCACTGGCGGATCCGGTATGACTTCCGGTACGGTTTCCTTTACCATGCCTCATACAATAACTGCCATAGCCCTGCCATATCTTCTATTGAATTTCTTTTTGAACAATCACAAACACTTTTTTGATTATGGATCAACTACCTGAAATTCAATGAGTAGGCTTAGTATTCAATGTGTATTCTTGAACAATTTCATTTTTCAATTATTCAGCCATTTCCTTTTACCAAGTTCAATGTTAATCCGAAAAAGAATATTTTTAATATTAATTTTAATTTAATTCCAAATGTAATTATAAAAGATAAAATTATTCTTTTCTGAAATTTCGAAAATAAAGAAAGTGACAATTGATATCCTTTAAGTTTTATCTTGAGGAACGACGAACTATCGCCTAAATAGCTATTATAGACGACTGCTTATCTCTTAACCTGTGTTCGGAGACGAAGAATTGTCCCCAATATCACTTGTAGGGACGACTAGTTGTCCCTAAATTTCTGGTTATCTCTTAAATTGTGTTCGGAGATGATGAACCAACCCCTATATAACTTGTAGGGACGACCGGTTGTCCCTAATTTTTTTTGTCTTCGAGGATGACTAATTGTCTTTTGTATAACTTAAAAGTACGAACAATTGCATCTTATCTTATAAAGGGGGCATAAAAATGAATGAGAGAATAACTCAAAGAATGTTTTGTTTAAATAAGATATCAAACTAATGCTAGAATTTGAGAATGAGTGATGAAGATCAATTAGCTAAAACTAAACTATTATTTAGGGAAAAGGATAATTAGTTCTACCATCATAAGTATTCATAACACGCAAGGGCCAAGGCAACCAAGAAATCCGGTACCCACTACCCAACTTGTGCACCGCTTAATCTGTTCTAGAATTAAATGAGAATCAGTGAAATCATTGTTTTTGTATAACCGGAAATCCACTACAATCTTCCACTTTCCCGGTTTCCCCAAACTAATTCTTTCGGGGACAGCTAACATAATTCTAAATTAATTGAAACTTGATTCATAATTTTATGGGGACAGTTTTATATGTGTGTCCCCTATATTACTTATATTTATATTATAACCCGGCCCGTTGGCCGGAATATTTATATATGAGTTTTTATATTTTTTATGTTACGTTAAAGTCTATCAATCTGTTTAGTTATATTGACAATCTTTGGATCGAGATGATACATAAAGAAAGAATATATAGGTCGAACATTCAAAGAAATATCATCATCATTTGAGAATATAAAATATAAAAATGTATCATTGATCCCATTTTCATAATGATAATTAAGCCCAGTTAAAATGTTATTAGTTAGTTGATTGTTAAGAAAGATAGAGTATGAAAGCTCACTGGAATTCTCACACGACCCATAGATAGTTTGAAACTAAATCTAAAACCCCACAATCCTAAATAAATGGTTCAATGCTCTCATTTTTTTGTAATATGTCACTAATCAAAAAGAAATTGAGAGTTGTAGGTTCAAGTCAACTCTATACTAACAACTCAGCTAAGAGGGGACCATCAAAACTTGAGAGCAAATGACAAAATTGGGTCCAATATACTAATAGACTCGATCAAAGCAATAAGACGCAAAAATTAGACACTCTTTATCTATTAGTTCAAGTGGGTTGAATAAAGAATCGACCTACTTCATTATATCAATAAATGATTCCCCGTTTTATGATAGAAATATGTTGTGGTAGCTGCAAAAACCATAAACCTAAAGATCCAATAGCCACCACTCTCCATTGAACGACCAATTTTTTTCTACTCTATCTTCAATCTCAAGAAGCATATGTTTCAACCAAACATTTACTTTCTAATCCTCCTTCTGCAACTCCATTTCTACTACTTTGATGGACCTTCTCTCTGCAAACCTCAATTTCTCTTCCAATTGGGGTTCTTGTCAACTCGCTCTTCAACTCCTCAATCCTCTTCCTATGTTTTCCAACTCAACTTCCTCACGGGCAGGTGTAATAAGTTCGCTAAACCAAAACACATCTCTAATTCCATCAATATGATCATCTCCCCCCTTGTATGCCTTCACCTAATTCAGTACACTTCCATGCCCTTCAATACTCTCTCCATTTTCATTAATATCCTCATCATCTCTCACATCTCTCTCTCTTCAACTGCTCCGGTTTTGCTCTGCGTCTTTCAATACCCTCCTCAATTCGATCACTACCCTCAGCAACTCCCCCTTCTCTGTCGTAACCTACTGCAGTTGATTTTTTTCTTCACCCACCACTTCCATTCTCAAACTCAATCCCAACTTTTCTACTCCAAGTTGAACACCCCAAACTCCTAGAGTGTTGCATGAAAGCTCAATTTCTAACTAATTCTAAAATAATATCAAAATTTGATTAGTGAGTTGGACCATAAGAATAAAAATTAATGAGGAAAATTATGGTTGCGGAGAACATTAGTTATGACAAAATCAAACATGAGCGGAAATATTGTAATTGAAAAGAAATATTTTTTTCTAATTTTGATTTTATTTTATTATTTCAATAGCTAAGCAAAGAACAAAAGTAAGGTATAGGAAACAAACAACAAAAAAAGTAGACAAGGCGCTAGGAAAGTACAACTGCCCCTGTTCTACACAAACATGTCATTTGCTTTCAAACAAATATAGTACCCAAACCATCGTTCAAATTCATTTCCTATATTTTATAAATCATTCATAAATAACAAAATTAGATAAATGGGGAAGGAATAATAGCCTACCAGTTCAAGTCAATGAACCTTATATGAAGATAGAAACTCATTGAAGTTGAAACCTAATAACAGAAAGAGGAGAAATGACGCTAGAGATCCACCGAGCTTTAAACATCGTATCAGACAATATGATCAAAAGAAATAGATATTCTGCATGTTCTGATCATAAGACAACGTGAAAATAAAAGCCGTTTTGTTATTAATCAGAAAGATAAAACCATGAGACATAGAGAAGAAATGAATGACTTACATGTGCAAAGCGATTAACCTTGGTCGAAAACCGAAAACCTATTAAAGGTCAATACCTGGTATAGGAAGAGGAGTAAAGGCAAAATATATAACTGATCAAACATTGTCTTCAGCAATAGAAGAGCAAAATAGTTCTTCTGGTAGTACAGCGGGGACAGACAGAACCATTGGGTGATGCCAGTGCAGAGGAATCGAGCGAGATAATTAAGGCCGGACCATAACTACTTGATTGAACTCCATTCTATTTGCCATGGATTGATATGAGAGTTGAAATCTTCTACTTGCCCAGCTTAAGTCCCAAAGAATAAAACGGCGGTGCCAAGAGATACCGGAATATTGATTTTCAAATGTGCCCTTATACTGGGTAGTGAAAGCACGCAAACTAGTGCACGATGGAGGGAATTTAAAAAAAATAAATAGAAAGAGATAAGAACAAAGATAAAAAAACACAAAATTTATATTTATATTGAAAATGCAAGGACACAACGCGTAGTAAATGAAATAGTTTCTTCCATGTTAGCCAATTACCAATTTACCTTTGGTGAAAATTAAGGAGAGAGCATGACTTTTAAAATGAATAATATTACATGAAACTCTACTATGAAAATTGAAGTATTAAGCATCATGAAAATACATACGATAGACTTAGTGCGCTTGTTAATCATGATGGAAAAGTCCTCTGCTTTTCAAAGTTTAAATACATGTATGTTTTGCATTAAAAAAGGAACAACAAATATATTTAGTATAATTGGTTATGATTGCTATCTTTGTTTGAAGATACTTGGGTTCGAATCTTGATATTGATATTTTTTAAATGAAATGAATAATTAATTGTAAAGACAAAAATGTCCTTCCTATTTTCACTCTCGTTGCAGGAAATTTGAAATGGAGAAAAGTTCACAAAACTCTACTATATATTATTGGAGGAGGAGGATTTCCGGAGGCAAATTTTAACAGTCGTCCCTTTATATTTGTCCCTAATGCGTTTTGTAGTGGTTATTATTTAACAGAAAATTTAGTAAGCATCTACGTGGTTTGTGCCAGATTTGTGATATTGCATAGTTTAGGACACAAATGTCACGAAACGAATATAGTTTGTGCCGGATTTTCATATTAAATTGTTTAGTACACAAATGACATTTTTAGGATAGTTTGGGTTTCATAGTGGAATCAGCCCTAAATTTTATCCATATGTTTATTTGTTTTTCAACTTGACGCTTAGTCTGTATTGTGCAACAAGTGTGGAGAGATGATTTTATCAATGAAATATATCAAGAATAATCTTCTAAATTCTAAATAGAATGAACGCGGTGAGTAGTTGAACGATGCGTTGGTGACGTATATATTCATCAAGATTTGCATTATCTTATCTTAGTATGGACAAGAAATGCGTTGCTATACAATATTTTTAGAATATGAAATCTCATCGTGGCCGGTAAGTGGTGAGTATCGAACTATTACTGTAATTGGAGTATATCCAGTCAAGATGGTTCGTACTACGTAGGTGATCATGAGAAAAGAAGTTACAGTTGCAGTTACATCTCAGTGCTAACCCTAGCCCAGCCGGCCGGTTACGGAAATGAAACTGAATTAAGGCCACTGTATAACTGCCCACTTCACCCCAGCCAGTTATTAACATCAGAACTTCCATTCCCATTACAATCACCTCTCCTTCTTTTTCATTTCTTTCTGTCTCTCTAACATCCCTTATCGCAGCCATGGCTCGTCCAAGCAACATAGTGCTCACAGTCCTGAACGTCATCTCCCTCCTCGCCGGAATCACCCTCTTCGCCACCGGAATCTACCTCTCCGTCGTCCAGGCTGGAACCGCCCCATGCCAGACCTTCCTCCGGAACTCTCTCCTCGTCGTGGGCGCCTTACTCATCCTCGTCTCCCTCCTCGGCCTCGTGGGATCCAACGGCCGCAACAACCTCTTCATGTGGCTCTACGCCCTCCACATGCTGCTCCTCGTCGCCGGCGTCGTCGGTTTCACCATCTTCATGCTCGTCGTCACCAGCCAGCGCCACCACGGCCACCGCGGGGTCGGAGACTTCTCGCCCTGGCTGCGCCACCATTTCGCCAAAGGAAAGAACTGGAACTTGGTCCGCAGTTGCTTGGCTCAAGGCCAGGTTTGCTCGGTTGTTAAGGGCGTCGGTAGCAAGAGCCCTCAAGTCGGCCGCAAACTCCACAACTCTGCCCTAATGGTAACATAAGAACACTTCCTAGCTAGCTAGTCTCATTTTTTCCCTTTAACATAGACAAACTCCACAACTCTGCCCTAATCGTCAGTTACATAGTCAGAGAATCGAAAACAACCACATGCGAAAGTCCATCAATGATGAGAGAGCTTTTCTTCTTCTTTCTTTATTGAAACGCCGAGGCGCAAAGGAACAAGAACAGGCAAAATTTCGAGCGAATTGCTGGACGTCCTCCAATTAATAATGATCCACCCAAAGCACGTGTTGTCTCCAAATGCAAATATGATCATCATTTCTCTCATATGTTTCTTCCTAGTCTCATACATATTTCTCTCATGTCTTGTCAATATATTGTCACTATACGAAAACTTGTTTTTGTAACCAGATATGGTCACGACACACACAGCAACAATAACTATCATGAAAATGTTTTTAGCGACCATTTTGTTGCAGAAATATAGTTACGTGCCATCTCAACCGCTTTAATTAATATTGTGATAAATTTGTTTTCCTACGTACGGATGCATGTAGGTCGGTTGCTGCAAGCCGCCCCCGGGATGTGGGTCGGAGAATAGCTTGAACGCGACACTAGCGGTTTTGCTGGCGGACCAAACTACTGCTGCGGCGGCGGCCGGGAACAAGAACGGCGACTGTGGGAAGTGGAGCGGCGACCCGAAGACGATGTGCTACAATTGCGACACGTGCAAAGCAGGGTTTCTCGGGGATATTAGGAAGCAGTGGAGGGCCGTTGCGGTGGCGCTGGCTTGCTTCGTGGCATTTATCGTCCTGCTGTTGTCCATCGCTTGGTGCGCCATCGCCAACAATAAGTTTGATCTCGCCGCTTCCAGTCCTCACCCTTGAGTTGGAAGCCCGATCGATCTTCTCGCATGCGTGGATTAATAAGGGCTCTTTAATTAATAATATTATTATTACTATTCTCGTACAATAATGCACATTTTGGTTCTCTTCTCTTTCAGTTTGTTGCCCATATGAATTTCCACTTTTTCTTTTGCTGGCCAGTGACTTTTGTAATGTCGTTTCTGTTTTGTTGAATTCATATGTTAGATCTGCTTTCATTTTTTTTATTTTTAATTTACTTGTGATAAGAAACGTGAAACTTTTTTGGGTCGTCATATTTAAAACTTCTTATTCATGCTTGGGGCTTTTATATTAACTAGCCTATAGCCCGGCCCGTTGGCCGCATTTGTTTAAGGAAATGAAGTTACAATATCTATAATGATAGTGTCGAGAAATGAGTCTTGTTTTATATTATCATAAGATTGTTGCAATTTTGCAATTCGTTGAAGACGAACATGTAATATGAATGAACATTCATAATAAGTTAGAAATACATTTGAAGATTAGCTAATCACAATAAAAATACTTACATGAAATTTTACTAATCACAAATCTAATCTAGTTGAGTATTACGACAAATAACATGCAAGTCCAAAATAAGAAAACTCAATACATTGTCTCATTGTTCATGACATGGTACTCAATTCAACAAAGGCAAAAATAATTTCACCAACACAAAGTTCACAATAACCAAATGCATCGTTCCAGGGACCGACTGTGACCATGACTTCAAATGTCTGTTCTCCAAGCATGTTCAGAAGGGCCATATAGTCAGCATTGACAACAATTGCATGACTGAATACAGATTCAACAATCGTTCGTAACTGTGATGACGGGAAGACGATGTCAACACCAATGAATTCGTCCTCAATTGTGAGGTGGACGAAATGGATTCTGGATGCAGGGGACCAGGACGTCGTCAAATTCGTTACACGTCCGGATAACAAAAAAGAGGTGCCCTGATGTAAACACAGAAACGAATATTGTCAAAGCAAATCGATAAAATGCAGCATGCCACAAAAGGCGTACGATTAAAAAGAAATTTATTTGTTTAGTTACCTGATTTTCGACATCCACTTGCAACATAATGAGATCGATGGTGTCGGCACGCTCACAAATTTCAAGAGCATCATCATATTGCAGATTAGCAATAAAACCATGGGGAAGCCTATATATTGGACTGTAAGTTTTGGCATTAAGTAGTGAAAAAGAATCGAAATTACATGATGTAGTATTTGTTGGATGCATGAGCAGTACTTACTGATTGAATTGAGGCAGGCCCGCCATATTGAATGCAATTCGCACGGTCAATGGAACCGAAGTGTTTTGTATGGGAAGTAGTAAACGGAAATTGTAACATGAGAGAAAGTGGTATCTCCATTATATAAAGGAGAGAAAGTGATTCTACACACGTGATTTACTTGGCCGCATGCAGTGGAGTACGTGTGTGTGTGTGGAAAGTGGGATAGTGGGGGAGTGGAGAAGGATTTGTGGCCTCGTGGGGGAGTGGAGAAGGTTGGCCATTTAGAGTTCAAGAGGCGGGTGTGTCACGGAACTCACGACCCACCTTCTTTTTTTTTTTTGAGGGGAACGACCCACCTTCTTAAAATCAAACATGCGCCTTCCTTTTATTTTGTTGCAATTAAAAATTCAAAAATAAAAGAAGGTAAGTACAGAATAAAATATAAAGAGAAGAAAAATCAGTTCACTTTTCCCAAAAAAGACCTAGCAGCCGCCCAAATTATGCTTTTCAGTTTTAATAATTCTCACTTTAATCTTTTATCTCTAATAAGTGAAACAATAATTGTAAAAAAAAAAAAATTGTTAAGTCTACCAAGTAAGTCAACACCGGTTTATGATCGGTTTTTAATATCGACTAACCACCGGTTATTTGATAAACCTTGAACCCTTTACTAATCCGGATCGATGTCCGGTTCCGTTTTAACAACATTGCTAATTGCGACTGTGTCAACAATTCTTGTCCAAAATTGCCTCTCAAAGTTGCTAATTATTATTTGATGCGCCAACCCGGCCGGCCCGGCGCACACCACCACTAATTAGCATGAAATGAAAATCATAATGAATGTATTTAATAAAGAAATAATGGCTTGGAATGCGGCAGCCTTCACCTCATAGAAGATCCAAAAAAATCGGATACTGGGCAGTAGAGGAGGTGGGGGAGTGGGGGAGTGGAGAAGGATCCGCCCAAGGTAGTGTAGGTTGGCCTTTTTTTTATGGGAATAGGTTGGCCATTTAGTTTCAACAAATCCGGCTGGGCATTCCCTCTCTAACTATATTTTATTTAACTGAACCATGCTTGGGTTGTTTTGTGGGCTGGGTTGTGGTGTTAATTTAGTTTAGTTTAGTTGCGACTATGGAAGTTCTTCTTCGTATTGCAATATAACGGTCACACTCGCATACCCTTCGGTAGAGTAAATTGAGGTACAATTAAATATAAAGTAGTGTGCATAAATCACATTTCATATAATTGGCTGTTAAAAACAGGAAAATAATTTGGACAAATTGAGAACTCAAGATTCAAATTGTAACGACCCGATAAATTTGACAGTCTTAGTCCTCAAATCGAATAAAACATAATACATCAATAAACCACTACTCAAAAATCTCAGTGAACACAATGTTCTGCATAGTCTTCACCGGTTTACCTTGAGAGTCACAGCTAAGAATCTTGAGTCCCCTTTCCGACGTAACTCGAGACATAGCAACATACAACTGTCCATGAGAAAATACTTGTCTTTGCAAGCAGATGCCAACGTGATTTAATGTTTGACCTTGACTCTTGTTAATTGTCATTGCATATGACAGTGCAACTGGATATTGCCTTCGAACCAGAGTGAAATTTAAGCTCTTGTAGTGGACCGATAGACTTAGGCGTGGTAAGAAAACTGTATCACCAACATGTGTCCCGGTCAAAATTTGGACCTCAATAAACCACTTACCTAATCTCTTAACGATCATCCGAGTTCCATTGCAAAGCCCAGTACTCTGATCCAGATTTCGAAGCAGAATAACAGGGCACCCCAACTTCAATTTCAACTCATGTTCCGGAAAATTCCCAATCTTTAAAGAGTTCAAGAATTCAACTGTGTAGTCCCCTTCTTCAACATGCTGATTCTTGGCATCAATCTCTAGCGAATCCGAATTAAAATAAGAAACTTCTTCACCAGGAAATAGACCCAATACATAATTGTTAATGGCCGCAACAATGTCATTATGAGGGGCTAAGATAGCTCGCTCAACCAAATAGGTTGACATATTTTCAGTGGAGAGTAACTGACCATATATTTCAGCAACAATATCAGGAATTGGATCACTGCGACAGGGAACACAAATGTGTAGAGGTATCGGGATAATTGATTCTCCAAAAATATTACTATTTGTACCATCACCAATTTCCAAAAGCCATTTGCTAAAATTTGAGATTGCTAACCTGGCCGATGCTTCAGAATGAGACAATTTTAATCGCATGTTCTCGGTTAGCTTCAATACTGTCATAGACCGCCACAAATAAGATCTCTTTATGGAAGAATTAACAATTTCAGTCCGTGTACCCTTCGTGATGATAGGTAACGTCTGTCGGAAATCACCTCCAAACACAATAGTCATACCTCCAAAAGGCTTCAACTCAGAATCAACATGCTTAACTCGGAAAATATCCCTCAATGTCCTATCTAGGGCCTCTATGTTGTGTTTATGAGCCATCGGTGCCTCATCCCAGATAATAAGTGAAGCATTGAGAATCAATTCAGCTACCTCAGAACCTTGCTCAATATTGCAAGTTGATTTTGTATCACAATCCAGGGGAATGTGAAATCTTGAGTGTGCAGTTCTTCCACCGACCATGAGCAGTGCAGCAATACCACATGAAGCAACACATAATACTATCCTCTTCTCAAATCTTAATTGCTCACAAATTGCTCGCCACATAAATGTCTTACCAGTACCCCCAAATCCATCCACAAAAAAGCGTTTACCCTCATTGGTATAAACAGAATGTAATACCATATCGTAAGCGATTTGTTGTTCTCCATTCAACGGTCTACTATGTCGATCCTCAGAACAGTCTAAGTCATCGGGTCCATAATTCATCTCCATATCTATCAGCCTGTTTACCGTATGTGAACGCAAACACTGATCGGGAACAGGCAACCCAGGGAAATCTGCTAATGACTTCGAAAATCTCTCCATCAATTTGTCAATATGAATAAGGCACAACTCCTTAATTTCATCCTCCGACAAATTCAACTGGGGTAAATTCAGCTCTCTACGTCGTGAATGCAAAATGCCTTCACTTAGTAATTCCCAATTCTTTAACCAAAAAGAAGTCACATCAGGCACCTGACAATGAATAAGAATTGTGAAAAAAAGTTTTCTAAGTTTATAACCAGAAGCCCAGTGCGAAGCTTCTTGGACACAATCATTCCATTCAGAATCTCCTGATAACAGTCCCCGAGCATAACATGCTTTTTGGAATGTTTCATATACCACCCCATTCACTGTTCTAATATCATCATAAGAACAACAACCCCTAAAAACATGCAATAGCATTCGCAAATAGTATCGCTCCTTTGCGGATGGGTAGCAGTAATATAATCTAGCAATGCAGGTACCTTTTTTGCGCTGCTGCCACTTCTTGTATTTTTATTCCATACATAATATTGTGGCATCTCCGCAAAGGTATATTTCCGTGCATCCATTGACTGAAGATTGAGATCCATCCATGCTAACAACATTGAGGTTTCGGAACTGCTAGACTCAACCGCTTCCTCCACGTTAGAATCAACATTTGAATACACTGTATTCTCACCAGGCAAATGACAGGACATACGCAGTACTGTTGGAGAGTGAGTGTATATATCAAACCTAAAAATTCTCCAACATGCTTCTCCCGATGTGATGTAACGCGCATCCATGAATGCCTTTATCTCATCGATTTGCACAACCGTAGTTCCACGATTCCGACCATCCATAGCCGAATCTGTTTGTTGTGCAGCTACAGTGACCATTGCACGATCCTCGGGTTTGTTGATGTACTTAAA